AAAAAAGGAAAAAAGGGGAAAAAAGGGGAAAAAAGGAAAAAAAGCTCGGTGGGACCCGCGGGCGCGGATCCGCTCCCCTCCCCGCCTCCCCCCTGCCTCCCGCTCGCCCCGGTTTCCTGCCTCATGAGCAAACTCAAGAGCAGCCGCCGCTCGCGGGGCCCCGACCGCAGGGGCGAGTGACACAGCGCGGTGGCTTCCGGCCACCCCCGGGCCCGCGGGACACAGTGACACAGCTCCCCGGGGAGGGACACCGAGGGGCGCAGAGACCCCCGCGGGGCGGCCAGAGGTGAGCGGGGGACACTGGCACTGTCATTGTGTCATTGTCATTGTCACTGTGCCACTGGCACTGTGTCACTGGCACTGTCATTGTCATTGTCACTGTCACTGTGTCACTGTCACTGTGTCACTGTCACCATCATTGTCACTGTCACTGTGTCATTGTCACTGTCACACCATCACTGTCAGTGTCAGTGTCACTGTGTCACTGTGTCATTGTCACTGTAACTGTGTCATTGTCACTGTCAGTGTCATTGTCACTGTGTCACTGTCACTGTATCACTGTGTCATTGTCACTGTCACCGTCACTGTCACTGTCACTGTCACTGTGTCCCTGTCACTGTCACCATCACCGTCACTGTGTCGCTGACACCGTGTCACTGTCACCGTCACCGTCACTGTCACCATCACCGTCACTGTATCACGGTCACTGTGTCACTGTCACTGTGTCACTATCACCGTCACTGTCACTGTCACCGTCACTGTCACTGTGTCCCTGTCACTGTATCACTGTCACTGTCACTGTGTCACTGTCACACCGTTACCGTCACTGTGTCGCTGTCTCACTGTGTCACTATCACTGTCACCATCACCGTCACTGTATCACTGTCACTGTGTCACTGTCACCATCACTGTCACTGTGTCCCTGTCCCTGTCACTGTCACCGTCACCATCACTGTGTCGCTGTGTCACTGTGTCACCGTCACTGTCCCTGTCCCTGTCACTGTGTCACTGTCACCATCACCTGCTTCCCATCCTCCACCCATTCCACACCGCCCACACCCCTTTTTAGGCTGTTCCCTCCGTGTCCCCTCCGCGCCACCTCCGTGCCAGCCCTCCGAGAGGCGCGGTGACAGCGCCAGGAGCGCAGGGGACAGGGGACAGGGGACAGGGGACAGGGGACAGGGGACAGGGGACACGGGACAGGGGACAGGGGACAGGGGACAGGGGACAGGGGACAGTGCCAGGCTGCCAGCGCCGCGTTGGGACCCGGCTCAGAGCGGAGCCACCGCAGCGGAATCACGGGCAGGAAGCCCGGGGGTGTCGCGGGGGGGTTGTGGCTCTTGGTGACACTTGGTGGCACTTGGTGGCACTTGGTGGCACTTTCCGGGTCGTGTCGCATGCCGGGAAGCAGAATCGGTCCCCAAAAAAATGATCGCGGGGTCATCCGGTGGCTTGTCCGAGTCACCCGGGGTGAGAGGTGACAACNCTCCCCGCCTCCCCCCTGCCTCCCGCTCGCCCCGGTTTCCTGCCTCATGAGCAAACTCAAGAGCAGCCGCCGCTCGCGGGGCCCCGACCGCAGGGGCGAGTGACACAGCGCGGTGGCTTCCGGCCACCCCCGGGCCCGCGGGACACAGTGACACAGCTCCCCGGGGAGGGACACCGAGGGGCGCAGAGACCCCCGCGGGGCGGCCAGAGGTGAGCGGGGGGGACAGTGTCACTGTCATTGTCACTGTCACTGTCATTGTCACTGTCACTGTCACTGTGTCATTGTTATTGTCACTGTAACTGTGTAACTGTGTAACTGTGTCACTGTCACTGGCACTGTCATTGTCATTGTCACTGTAAATGTGTCACTGTGTCACTGTCACTGTGTCATTGTCATTGTTACTGTCAGTGTCACTGTGTCACTGTCACTGTCACCATCACTGTCAATGTCACTGTGTCACTGTCACTGTGTCACTGTCACTGTCACTGGCACTGTCATTGTCATTGTCACTGTAAATGTGTCACTGTGTCACTGTCACTGTCACTGTCACTGTCATTGTGTCACTGTGTCATTGTCATTGTCAGTGTCACTGTCATTGTCACTGTGTCACTGTCACTGTCACTGTCCCTGTGTCACTGACACACCGTCACTGTCACTGTCACCATCACTATCATTGTCACTGTGTCACTGTGTCACTGTCACCATCACCATCACCGTCACTGTATCACTGTCACTGTGTCACTGTCACCGTCACTGTCACTGTCACTGTCACACCGTCACCATCACAGTCACACCATCACTGTCACTGTCACTGTCACTGTGTCACTGTGTCACTGTGTCACTGTGTCACTGTCACTATCACTGTGTCACTGTGTCACCGTCACTGTCACTGTCCCTGTCCCTGTCACTGTGTCACTGTCACCGTCACCTGCTGCCCCTCCTCCACCCATTCCGCACACCCCACACCCCTTTTTAGGCTGTTCCCTCCGTGTCCCCTCCGTGCCAGCCCTCCGAGAGGCGCGGTGACAGCGCCAGGAGCGCAGGGGACAGGGGACAAGGGACAGGGGACAGGGGACAGGGGACAGGGGACAGTGCCACACTGCCAGCGCCGCGTTGGGACCCGGCTCAGAGCGGAGCCACCGCAGCGGAATCACGGGCAGGAAGCCCGGGGGTGTCGCGGGGGGGTTGTGGCTCTTGGTGACACTTGGTGGCACTTGGTGGCACTTGGTGGCACTTTCCGGGTCGTGTCGCATGCCGGGAAGCAGAATCGGTCCCCAAAAAAATGATCGCGGGGTCATCCGGTGGCTTGTCCGAGTCACCCGGGGTGAGAGGTGACAACCGCGAGGGTCAGAGCCGTAAAAAGAGATGGGAGGAGCGTGGGGGTGAGGGAAATAAGGGGAAAAAGAGGGAAATAAGGGAAAAAGGAAAAAAAAAAGAAGAAGAACGGGTAAAAGGGGGGGGGGAGGAAAAAGGAAAAAGGAAAAAGGGAAAGGGGAAAAGGAAAAAGGAAAAAAGGGAAAAAGGGGAAAAAGAGGAAAAAGGAAAAAGGGGAAAAAGGAAAATGAGGAAAAGAAGGAAAAGAAGTAAAATAAGGAGAATCAGGAAAATAAGGAAAGTAAGGAAAATTAGGACAATAAGGAAAAAAGGGGGAAAGGGAAATAAGGGAAATAAAGAAAATGAGGAAAATAAATAAGGAAAATAAGGAAAAACCATCTCACCCTCACCTGTTTTTATTCCTCCTCAGAGGTCCACACCCCACATTTCCCACCCCCCCTTGACCCCACCCCCTTTAGAACCAACCCCAAAACACCCCGGTGACATCTCCCTGTTCCACCGCGGTTCGAGCCCCGAGTCCCGAGGGATTTGRGGATTTTATTTTGGGGATTTTTTGAGGATCCAGGGGCGGCTCAGCAGAGCGAGAAGCGGCGGGAGTTGATGTTCATGCGGGTGAGGCCGATGTGTTTGAGCGGCGTGGAGAGCAGGAAGGCGGCCCGGGCGGGGATGGTGCACAGCAGCTCCGAGTCTTCCTCGCAGCTCTCGAGGCCGAAGGCGGCGTCGTCCAACATCTCCTTGTGCCGGTGGCACGCCTGCTCCACCCGGAGCCGCTGCAGCCGCGCCCGCAGCCGCAGCAGCTGCTGAGCCAGGAGCTGGTCCTGAGCCTGCATCGAGCGCTGGGGGAGCGGGGGAGGAAA